TGTCCTATAACCTAAATTCTTAGAAGGACATAATTCAATTTCAGTTATAAAAATTTTAATTATAAGACATAATATATAAATTTCGGGACCCATCTTTAGTTATGGGTTTTAATAAAGAGGTAATAGGCAAAAAGAATGTGTATATTTGATAAGTTTAGATTATTTGGAAGATTTTATTGACTAAGAACAGTATAATAAATATGATAATTTAATTCAATAAACATTTATTATTATTATTTTTTTTTCTACTTTATATTCTATTATATTGCTTATATACTTTTTAATAATAAAAGAAAATAAAAGAACTAAAAGAATAATTAATTGAAAAGAAATAAAAAAAATAAAGAAATAAAGAAAATAACAAAAATAATAAAATTGGAGGCAATTATCTGATTAGACAATCTCCATAATGTATGATTTGTTATACAATTTTTAAGGCATATCATTGACTATTATTTACTTGTAACAATATAATTTCTAATTTCTTTTAAAAACTATCACTTGAAATCAAACAATTAATTTTAATTGCATTATATAGTATATTACTTAATAATTCTATTATAATATAGTTTTTGAAAAATATACAACTTCAATTTTATTATATATATTATTATAATGAAACAGTGAGTCTGTTGCTAACTTGGGACAGTATTTGCATAATGCTACGAGGGAGTTAGATAATTATCCGCTTCTAGCTCCTGGATTATCTTGTTAATTGGATCTTGTTCCTCAATAATTGTGCCACAAATCATATGGCCTTATCAATTATCCTCTTGGCTATAAGGCTTTGCTTTTAAAGTAGGTTTATTAATATATTCTTTATTAGATTATTGTGTAACAAGTTTATTTTTTATTTCAGCGATCTACTACTATTTATAGTAGTGCTGACATATCTGTCCTAACTTGCAATACATCCTGTAGCCAACTAATATATCAATGGCAGTGTGTTCTGACAAAGCTTAAATTGAAATACAGAAAAGTTTATAAATGTTTATATTAAAATATATAATTTTTATACTAATAATATAGTTAATAACTATAAGTTTTAACAAATGAAAAATTTTTTAATCTTTTAATAAACAACTTAAAGTATTGAAATATTAGTAAAAATCTTTTCAAATTATATAAAATAAATATAATTACAAATGTATTAAAAATTCTAGTTAATAAATATTTATTTTTATTAAATTTTATATTTTACTTTATATTAATTCCTGTTATATCATAATTAAATTTAAATATTAATTTGAATCAATATCAAAAACTAAAATCAAATATATTATTTCAAATAAGAAATCATGCTAAATTTATTAAAATATCAAAGAATTTAATCCAATAAAATAATAAAAATATAAAAAAAATAAAGTAAATAAAATAGTTAAAACTTCTAAACTGTTATTAATAATAAAATTAAATAATTAAAAATTAAATAAAAATCACAATAAAAACATTTTTAAAAACTTTTAACTAAAAATAAAAAATTTTTTTCAAGTAATATAAATAAAAATATTTAATTAAGTTAATGTCTAAATTATTAAAATTAATAGTTTTTATTTCAATCTATTATAAAAACAATTATATAATTAATTAGATATTTTGTATTGTTATTAAAAAGAAAGATATTAAAAGACAAATAAAAAAAATACATAAACAATTGTTACTTATATATAAAAAACCAATTAAATAAAATATATTAATTAATTATTTATTTTATATTTTTTTTATCAAATAATAACGAAAAAAATATAAAGAATCAAAAGCATATAATCATTTATTGGTTGAAAATTCAAGAGAATTGTAAAAATATTAAAAAAATTAAATATTATAATTAGGGCTTTAAAAAGTACTAAACTGGTATCGAAGTGATATTAAAATAGTATTGATTTTTAATAAAATTAAGTATTTAAATAGTATTGAAATAAATTGAAGTAATATCATTAGAAGTCTTATATATGGTTTAAAAATTAAAGATTTATTTGATAAAAAATAGTAAATTTATAAGAAAAAAATAAATATTATTCTTGTTATTGATAAATTTGTTATTAAAATAATTCCGAATACTTGGATTTTAGCATAAATAAGATATAAAATTTCATTTTTAATTTAATTACAATTTGATTAATTTTTTATATACTTATTGATTTTGTTTATTATTTTTTCAGATATTTCAAGATTATAAATATTTTTTTTAATAATATAAAGATAATCTTGTTCTTAATTGAAAAAATAGCAAAATATTTTTAGTAAAGTTAAAGTTATAAATAAAAAAAATCTTTTTTGGTTTTATTTTTTATTTTTTTGGAGACAAAAAAATTATTACAAAACTCAAGTTATATTTCAATTTGTCAATAATAAAACTAATAATAATTATTTTGAAAATGGTTGAAAAAAAAATCTTGAAATTATCTATTGATTAAATGAAGCAATAATTAAGAAAATATAATTTAAAAGAAAAATCAATAATAAAAACCTATATTTGTTCTAATTATAAATCTTTGGATATAAATCTTTAAGAAATATTTTTTTAAAAATATCCTTAAACATTTTTTAATTATTTTTATTTTAACAAAATTAAATAGTTTAACTAACTACAAGTAAGAAGTAAGTATATTAGCACTTATAAAAAACTTGAATTTATTTACTAATATTACTTTTTCAATAATAGTTAAATTTATAATAGCTTTTTTATATATCTTTTTTTATGTATATATGTGTTGTTGTTTTTTTCTTTTATTTTAAGTTTTATTTTCTAGTTTTTATAAAAAAAGAAAAACAATATAATTTGAAAAAATGGAATAATATTTTATTGTTTGTATTTTTTATATTTTATAATAAATAAAAAATAATTATTTATTAAATATTATAAAATAAATTATTTCAAAAATTTTTCTAAAACAAAGATTTTTTCAAATTATAATTTTTATTTATTATTAATTGAATTTTTACAAATTTTTACAAAGTTATTTAAAATTCAAATTGCAAAAAAAAAGTTTTTTTTATTAATTTAAATATTTTTAAAACAAATTTATATATTGTACTTTTATTTAACTTATACAAGTTGATTTGAAATATAAAAAAATTAACTAAGTTAAATTAAAAATTAAAAAGAACTTTAATTATAAAAATTTTTATTTTTATGTGGTTATTACACGTAACTAAAAAATTTGTTTACAGTATATTTATTTATTTAGCATTGTCAAATATTATATTAAGTATAAATAAAATTTTAATAAAAAACAATTTAGATAAAATGAACAATAATAATTAAAGATTTATCAATGGTTTTTAATTTGTTATTTAAATCAAATAAAAAAAAGCAAGTACAGTTAAAGTGAAGTTTGACTTGAAAAATTACTTTACTATATATATATATATATATTACGTTTATAATATTTTCAACTTATATGATATAAAGTAAATGGAATAAATTGTTTTTGTTACAATATATTTTGTTTTTATAAGCAGCTTTATAGAAATTTGCTTGTAATAATATCAATTAAAAAACAAAATAAACAAAATATATCTTTATTAATAAATATTGTTTAAGATTATTACTGTATTAATTTATTTGATATATATTTAAAACAAAAATAATAATTAAAAAAGAAAAAGAAAAAGGTTGATTAAAAAAAAAAAAAAAAACAGGAGTATTTAAAAAATAAAAATCCATGGTTTAAGAATAAATGATAAAGTAAATTAAAACAAGCACAATACTGTAGTAATAAATTAGCAAAAATATCGTATTGATCTAATTAAATTTTCATTTTGCGAGATTTACTGTATATACAGTATTTAGCGAGTTACTGTAATAGTAAACCATGTAGAATTGTTTTGCCGGAGAAACTTTGACCATTTTTTCGTTCAATCATCGAATATTGGATGTTAACCTAATTATTCGATATATATACATTATCCGCTTTTTTTATTTTGTATTGCACGGCCGATGAAACCAAAATTGTCGATAAGTTCAATGGATACTTTGTGTACAATATAATAAGAACGATAAACGCATATACAATTTAAAGTCTGACAATTGAAAAATACAGCATGGTCATCGAGTATTGTACGTGCACAAATTCGAATGGAATAGTACACATGATAAATAAGAAAGCTTTATTTATGATGAATTGAAAAAGAAATATACAATAATGCAATCACGTTAAAATTGTTGAAACAAAACATAGGAATAATATTTACAGTATCAAGAATAACTCGGTAGCAACTTGTAAACTTCATACTCCTCCCAACAAACTACTCTCTATTTTTAAACCAGGTTCATAATATTTTTGGTCATAACTAATTGGCTTGGTTTGATTATAGATCACAAGATCGATGAAATTCGAACCCAATTCTTTTTTATAAGCCAACACATTAGAAGGCTCCTTTATGCGATTAATTTCGAACTTTTACAAATCATCCTTGTTATTAATCTTAAATATGAAGGATTTTTTGCAGAAGAATGTGTAGGCAGAACTTGCACTGCGACCGGAATCCAACCTGGGATTCCACCTACGAGGATTATCCACCAATAATCTCACCCGTTTCCTCAAGCTTCGCAATTATCTGTGTCCTTCGTAGCATGGCATTTCTCATGGAAACTTGCACAGGTGAAGTTATTATCTGAACTCGGTATAACCGTTTAAATTTCTAAGATTGGTATTTCGGATTATACGGTTTTTTATCGATCCAACAGTTCAAGAGATTCACGTAATTTTGTTTTCGTTGATGATAAATTTCACGTTTTTGTCTCTCGTCTTGGTTAGATAATGTTTCATAACCTTACTAAAGTAATATTTCTTATCGAATAATGATTGGTAGTTCATCACTTTTTCATAGAAAGCTTCGGATGTTATCTTCTTGAATCTGATTAAAGGAATCAAATCTTTCAATGCCCCCTTGCAATTTTTCAACGTCCACCTCCTTCAAATTTTCGATATTTTCTCTAGAAATATCTGGGAATTGTGAAAATGCCCATTGAATAATGAATTCCTAAAGATCGATTTCTTCCGCAATTAAATCATCACGTTTCAGCAAAGCCATTATAATGTCCTTGTTGATTGTCGTCACATCACTCGAAATACAATGTCCGAATTCTGACAAAGTTGGTCATAACAGAAGTTTCGGATATCACGGAATACCTCATGTTTGGATGAAAATCGTTCGAGAAGAAGTAAGTTATCGCGAATCCACTCTCCATGATTCTCAAGGAAACATTGTTGTAAATATTCATCAAATCCCTGAATACCCAGCTCCCAGTAGGCTTCGAGAAGATCAAGAATCTGCCGTGGATAATACTAAATTGATGAACGTAATTAATTTCACGCCTTAAATTCAGCTTACATACAAGGAATCGAATAAACAAGAACTTACGTTAAAAGGTATTTGAAGGCCTTGGGGGTGATGTTTTCTTTTTTGTTATCTCTGTGCTCATGAAAAATGTTTTGATATTGCTGTGTAAATATATGATACAGTGCTGCCGCTTCCATCACTTTCAGTAGTTTTACTGATCATTTCTTTGGAAAATATATTATAAATAAGTGGATCTAGCACGGAGAATGGCGGAGTGTACATAGAATTCTTCAATGTCCGGTGCCTTTCCGATTTCTAATTTAGCATCATATCCTTCTAATTTATTTGGAAAGTGATCAAGTTTTCTGAGAGTTGTAAAGGGGTTTTATCACGAGATCTTTCAAAGTTTCCGCTCGAGCTGCATGCAATATTTCCATTTTTACCATTTATCTTGTTATAGAAAATTGTCGTGAATAGCGTACCCTTGATACTTTTCTTTGTGTGCATGCTAAGATAAAATCTTATTAAGTATTCACACGCCATGCTGAGGTGTAACCGTTCTATTCGGTTTACATGAAATTAACCTTTCGCAAAGAGAAGATTCAATAGAAAAGGGAACTGTTAGGGGAAGGTCAGCAGGATAAATACGGCTGGGCGTGTTACCAAAGAAAAGTATGGTGATACGTACCTTCTACATTGGAAACGGTTAAATTAGGTATAATTCAATCGAAAAAATTATGCATGGTTGTTGAGAATATCTGTTAAAGAATATGAAAGAAAAGTACTGTATTGTTAGAGATGGCTTGTCAGAAAGTAAAAAGTATCCATGCATGCCCTATCAAAGAAAGGTGATTGGAGGTCGAATATGAAAATCTTTATTCTGTTCCTAAAAATCCTTGTAAGGACATATTTGACTCTGCGTCAACTTTTTTTTGTCAAAAGGTGTAGCATAAAAATTTTGTGTACAGAAATATACTTCCGGGTTCATGTTTCTTCCATTGGCGCTGGGTCATCCGACATTGAATTCATTAAAAAAAAACTCCCGGTAATTTATACCGTAAAAGTGCGAAATAACGCCCATGAGCGTTAATTCGAAATTTAAATTTTTAAATAATTATATGTTTTACTTAAAATAACGCCCATGGGCGTCCCGATATAACGCGCATTTAGATATAAATATAAATTTCAA